GTGCTATATCAGCCTGCAAGGTGCTTTCCAATTCATCAGTGTGGAATGTAAACAAGGTGTAGCTGACACCTGTCTTATTATCTACAAGTTCTGCAGCTGAGTTGTCTGACTGTATGAAACTACATAGGTTGAATCAGACTTATTGGTCAGTGAGAGAGGAAGGTGTGTTCAGATGCAACTAACTTTTCCTTCTCCCTCCATCCTGCAGAAGGTTTTACTAGAATTACTCTTGAAAAATGTTTCAGATATGTATTTGCCTTATTTGCTTCATTTCTGGTGTTCCCTCAGCATTGGGATACAAGGATCTGGTTCCTCTCTACTACAAGGATATCATTGCGCCACTGTAGTGTATAGTTCAGTCTAGAGAAGGACAAAATGGAAAACAAAAAACCCCAAAACATATGGAGTCTGCAATACCCGGCCTGTAGAGAATCCAAATAGTGATCTCAGTAATGGCAGTGTTCTGCATTAGGACCATATGTAGCTGTTCACAGGCATAGAGCTATGTGCATAGTAGTTTGCCTATCTGTGCATAAGTAGCATTTTTAAAAATTTAAACAGCAATGTAGATAACCAAATCTGGTCACTTAGACATTCAAAAAGCATAGAATGATACCCTAAAAGGATAGTCTGATTGCTGGAGGGCCACACTTTATTTTGAATGGGAAAAAAAAGAGCACATATACTTCTGAGTTACAGGAAAGAACATCAAATCAAAATATACCACTGGTGGAGATAGTGGCCCCATGAAGCCTACAGGTTAGTCTCTCTTTCCAAAACAAGCATCAGAGGCCGTATATGAGCAGCCGTAGCAGCCTCTTCGGTGAAGATCTGGCACCTTGTTGACATACCTTCTTTGAACTGATCATGGTGGAGGCTGCCTTTGGTAGGAGGGTGCTCCCAGTATTAGACAAAGGACTTAAAAAACCTATGTATAGCTGGGTATGAGTAGTCCCTGTAGTCATACTGCTATAAAATAACCATTAAGAAAATGGTTAGGTTTGCAGGAAGAAGAGAATAGGAACATTTGTTTGTTCCTTAGTTAAATTATTCTCTTGTTTACAGCATTTCTTTGCTCAGTAAAATAAAAATTCCTGATTGGTTCATAAAAATATGCTCTTCAGTAGGAATTTAGTTTATTGCTATAGTACATATAGCTATACAGACTGGAAGATGTCAGTCCAGACTCCAGACAGAAGCATAGTCTGTATTTCTATGGAAGGTTTCTCAGCTGGTGAGCTTTTCAGGGTATCTGGCCATGCCTATCTCATCCATGACTGATTGGAATAATTCTATTGTATGGCTGAATGCAAGCTATCATTTAAGGGATCTTTGGGTCTAGTAACTTGTCGAAGGATTTTTTAAAAAAAAATTTAATTGCAATAAATTATTCCTTTCTATGTACTGACATTAATGGAACAGAGTTTTCTCTGCTTGGTCTCTCCATGTACCTTTTCCTTACTCCTGCACTTATAGTAAGATAATAATGTTGATGGCTTATTTTATACATAGCATTACAGCTGGCTGGTGAAATGAACTCTACTGCCCATTTTATATACATTCAACCCCAGTAACCCTTTGCTCCACTCATCATTCCAAGATGATTTAGGAGTGATACTGTTGAGACAAATTCTCTGAGGTTACATTGTTCCCATGGCAATCTGGTAAAATGATTCTAAGTTTAATTACAAATTTTGACCCTTTCACTTTTTGTAATTACTTAGCTTCTTTTTTCCCTCTAGTTCTAACTTTGTAGTTACTGGAACTTAAACTTGGCTGATATATTTTCTATTTGGGGAAAAAGTCACTGGTCATTAAACGTCCTCTAAAGTATTAAATTTTAGGCAGTTCTTAAATGGAAGGAAGGTAATTTTTTTCTTCTTTTTTTTCCCCTCATACATGGAGGTGGGAATTGAAGATGGCCTGTAAGAAGAAATTGAGTATGTTTTCTTGAGGAGGATAAAATAGTTCCCCAGTACAATTTCAGAGATGGGAACTAGCAGAAATATGGCTGTCGGCACCAATGGCAATATAGCATAGTATACTGATTATGTTGGCTACTTACACTAGCAGCTCTCTCCCACCTAATAATTCGGTATAAAGCAAATTAATCTGTATACATTCTATGTTGGTATTATGGGAACATAGTCCTTTGTTGAACTGGTTGACTACACACAAACTGTATAGAAACTGCATTATACTCCTCCACCCTACCCCCTTGTAAGATTTCCGTGACCTTTTTTGGATGATGTGATACAACTTTGCTCTTTTCCAAAAGAGAAAAATTGCCCACTACAGCTCAACAACATAAAAAATTTTGTTAAATCTTCATCTAAGTATTGTCATTATGTACCTATTTTAGTTCCTTTTGAAATGAATGATTGCAGCTCTCTGACTAGATTTGGCTAATGTTGGCAGAATTCACTGCCTCAGCACTGTTTCAGTAAATGTAACAAATCAGTTACGGATTCTGAAAGATGGTAAATCATCGTCAGTGAAGTGTTGATGTGCTTTGCCACTGCAAACCAGGTTAAGTCAAAGCCATGAGAAGAAGGCAGAGAAAGGAACTTAGGGTGCCTATACACTCGCAGTGAGGATGCTCCGATGCACTGTAATGAATCGAGTCTGCTGGAGCATGGTAATTACTGCACTCCAGCTGACTCCTGTGTCACATGTATCAGTGTCCCCAATCTGAAAAATTGCAGCAGCGGTGCTTTAAGTAAAGCTCATTCGACGAGCTTTAGTTATAGTGCCCTGCCACCATTTTTCTGCATGGGAACACTGATACATGTGATGCTCCGGGTGCTTTAATTAGAGGAGTTCTTGGAGCTGCTCTAATTAAAGCCCCTACCCCCTACCCCTTTTCCTGGAACGTGTATAAACTCCCTTAGAGGTTCCCAGCTTCTACCCTTTCCCTTGGGTAAGTGAATCTTAATGCATATTCTCATCCACACAGGATTCTTATTTTTACCAAAATAGTCTCAAGAGAGACATTTCGGTGCACCTCTGCTCCTTATATGCATGTTCTTTTGATAAATCAGTCAGCCTTATTATCTGATTATACAGCTCTTTCACCCCTATTTATCTCTCCAGCTTCCTCTTCAAAGAAAAGAGATTAGCATAGCTGCTATTTAAGCCTCAAAATCAGTTTTAAAAAAAGGCTTTTTTAAATGAGAGCTGTGCTTATCTTGTGAGAAATGCAGCTGGAGGCTTTGTGAAAATATGGATTGATTCAGAATATCTTTCAGTATTTCTGAGTGAAGAAAAAATCAAAAGACTTGAAGCTTCTTCATAGATCTTTGTGCATTGGAAATTGTATTGAAAACAGTGTAGTTTCTGGTCAGGGTCAGTGTACACCTCATCTGGGTTTTTCTGTGGAGAAAGGGATAAAGTTTTCATAGATGAACTGTGCAGGGCAGCCACCTGGTGTCAGGGCTAGGTAGCTGTTTGAAAAGGATTAGGGATGTTCTCCTGATTTGGGGGAAAATGAATGGAACCATGGTGGTATTTTCCCATTGAGATTATCTCTATATTATTTTCACTGAGAGTTGTGTTAGGGACTATGTAGTCCCAAATAGAGTCCTGTTTAGAAGCCAGTTGTCTGTTTGGAGCAGACAGGTATGCAGGCTAACCTCCATTCTTACATAAAAATGGCATCAAACTTGGGAGCAGAGAATGAAGAAAGAGTAGTAACAAATGAGAAGTCCTTCAGGCACATGAAAAGGGGGTAGGGGCAGTACTTCTTAGTCAGACTTGGGAATCAAGGGCTCCTATAGACGTGCAGGGAGCCAGTTCCAGTGTGCAGGAAATCCAGCACATTGGAACAGACTCGATTAATCGAGTCCACTGGAGCACAGAAATAAATGCGCTCCAGCAGCCTTCTGTATCACATGCATCAGTGTCCCTGTGCTGAAAAATAGTAGTGGGGCACTTTGAACTAAAGCTCGTTTGATGATCTTTAGTTCAAAGCGTCCTGCTGCCATTTTTCAGTGCAGGGGACACTGATACACATGACATTCTGGCACTTTTAATTAGTGTGGCTCGCTAATTAAAGTGCCCCTGCAGCTCCTGGAGCACATGTAGAAATGTCCCAAGACCTTTCCTCTGCCACATACTTCCTCTGTGACCTTTTTAAGTCATTTTAATTTTTCTAGTACCTTGTTGTCCCATCTGCAAAATGAAATGATAGCTTTCCTAACTCACTGGAAACTTTGTGGGGTACTGGGAGAACAACACTCCTTTGCTTTTCATAGTTTTTATATTTTTATTTAAAAAATTAAAAACTTTTAAATATATTTTTCAATATGATTGCTTGACTTGTATTACTACCCTTGATAGGGAAAATATTGTGGTCTGTTCCTGTTGACCAAGTCACTGAAAATAAATGCTTAAGTAATGGGCTAAAGTATTTAGCCTTTCTAATCTAAGGTATTACAGGAGGATAGAATGTTCATTGATTAAAATGTATATAGCTACATTTATGGGAGCAGTAGGCATTCTAGTCCATACCCCATTCCTACTCCCCTCCCATCCCCTCTCTTTTGAATAATTGGTGGTTTGGCTTTCAGTTGGCTTAAAACTCTGAGACCTCTATTTACTACAGTAAACCTCTATGATTTTGTTTTAATATTTGTAAGCACCTCCCTGAGTTTACTGCATTTCTGGTGAAGGGAAACAGCTGTTATACGTTGTCATCAGTCTTTGTTGAAGTCCTCTATGTACATGTGCTTGAAATGATAAAATTAATTCATTTTCTTCACAGAGGGTGGTATTTCAAAAAGCCGTATTATTCAGGATGTGCAAATTTTTCATGTGCAGATGTTTTCTGTTAATGCCATTTTTATTCTAAAACTTTAATGTTCTTCTCATATACATACACGTTGATTTATTAAGATATCTCAGTAGCTCAGTTTTTTCATATTGCAATTGATTTTCTAAGTGAGCATATGCTAGAATGTGACTTGCATTTTTAATGTTTGTTTTTGTTTTTTCTGTTGCAGTCGAAATCAGCTTTCTTCTTTGCCAGCTTGCCTGTGTGGTCTTCCTCTAAAAGTCTTAATTGCAAGTAACAATAAGCTAGGTTCCCTGCCAGAAGAGATAGGTCAGCTAAAACAGTTAATGGAACTGGTATGTTACTGATTTGGACTTTTTTGTTTCTTACTGGTTACAGTATAAGCAACTTTGCAGACAGCTTCCTGTTTAGATCTCATGAAACAGCACACCCCATTACAGACTTCATGAGTTTTATCTGCTGAACTTCTTAAGGGCCATCAGATGGTTATACAGTAATGTTTTCTTATCTTCTCTCCAGCTTGTCTGTAACCTACATCACCCTTTCAGTTTCATACAAAGAAAAGCTGTTAAGTACAGCATTCTTTACCTGTTGTACTCCCTACCTTTTCACATCCCTCTCTGCTTGCTCCCTGTTTTGTGGCATCTAATGCCATGTCAGTCCCTTCATATATATTTCTAGCCATCTCTACTTCTTACAGCATTGTGTTCCCCTTAAGAAAGTTGATCCTGTCAGTCCATGTTCAGTTCCTCTCACCAATAGTTCCATGCTGTCCTGTATGCACTGAATAGCTTCTCTGAACCTATCCAGAAGAGCTCACTGTCCTCTTTGATGTCAAGTGTTTCCTTAAAAACTAGCGCTTCTGTGGTGGCTAAAAGATATCCAGTTAACAAAGGTGGAGGAGCGTGATTTAGTTGGTATTTTTACTTTTTTTTTTAATTGCAAAACAATATCAGAAGGTTGTATGTAAAAATTTTTGTATATTTGAATGTTTCCATCCCTTTCTTCTTTGGCTCCCCTTCGTATGTCACAGATTTACTAAAATGTAAATTTTCTGAGATACTTATTTCTGAATGTGTACCCTCTTGAGAATAGCCCTTGGTATTCTAAAATACTAGAAGCAGTTATTCCAACATTACTCTTGAATGCTTAATAAAAATTTCAATGTTGTTCCAACTGGTGCTGTCTCTTTTACTGCACCTATTTTGTATTTCCAAGTTGGCTATCACTTTGGTGTCTAAAAGTCCATGCTCATCCACTTGTTTGTCTTTTCTAGATATAGATGTAGACTACTTTAAAAAGGGGTATAAAACTCATCCAGCCTCCAGGGCTGGATGATTGGCAGGGGGCAGGTCTGTGGGCCAGAGTAGGCGCCATGTACACTTGCATCCTGGAGTAGTGGAGTGGCTGCTGACTGCAGCACACCTCTGGAACAGCCATGCTACACACAGTGGCTACTCTAGGGTTATGCTGCAATGCTCTGGAGCGGTTGCTGCAGGGCTCTGCTGCACAACCCCCGAGTCCCGGAGCAGCTTCCACATGCAGTGTAGGCACTCGGAGCTGTGCTGTACATGGTGGCTGCTCCGCAGATCCTGGTCAGGAGCTGGAATCATGCCAAGACCCACAGGTAGAGGGCCAGATGATAGAGCTCTGTGGGCCAGATTTGCCCCACAGTTCATATCTTTAACACACACAGTTTAAAATGTGATCTGTCATTTGGTACTGACTTGCCATTAAATTAGGTCCAGATTATTCAGGTGACCCTTTCTGGGCAGAAATATTTGCCACACACTGTCAAAAAATTGCTAAGGAGCACCATGCTTAAACTGATATGTAACCTCCAAGTGGATGTAATGTAGCTGCCTTATTGGTGTGCGTTCAGCATGCATCAGTAATCATGTACATGCTCTCCCTCTCTCATGTGCTTATTGGCATATGCACAGTACTGCATTAAAGATTTGTTTCAGAATGTAGCATGAAGATAAATGGGTGTGCTGCGCTTCACTGTAGCATTCCTTGGCATAGTCCTTTGATTCTGGAGAAATGCCCTTGGTGACACGTGCCTCACAGGATTAGGCCCTTGTTGCTGACTGTAATGAGCTTAACTTGCTGCTGACTTCCCCTTTTTTATTTTTTTCTCCCTGGGGATTCACGGGATCTGTTTATAATGGCTGACATGAAGTTGAATGTTTTTCTTTTTTCTTTTTTAAGACGTAAACTTTACTGTTTCATTTTGCCAAATAAGTCAACGTAAAAAATGACAATTTTTAAGTGGAAACAAAAAAGCTATGAAATAAAAAGAAAACATATACACAACAAAACAAAACATTCTCAGTACTTTAAAATGATACAGTCCAACCATAGTGATGGTTTACATCAGTGGGATTAACCTTTCTGGCAAGCATGCCACAAATTAAGCCAAGTGTCACTCCAGTCCCCCTCTGCCTGCCCAGTCTGCTGCTTTGCTTTCTGCTTCCTACCCCATCCATTGTCGAGTTTTTTGTTCCCTGCCACTGTGCTGTCTGCCCACTCCCCAGTCTACCATATGCCACACATAAAGGCTCCCCATGCCACTTGTAGCCTGCATGCTGCAGGTTGGCCATCCCTGGTTTACTTGATGCTTATTGTATTACTGTATTTAGTTACTCATTCTGTATTTATTTTATTAATAAAAATAGAAAGTATTAAACATCTCCCTGTTTAGAAGACAAAGTAAGTAGATTGTTAATGGAATTTAAAATCTGTCAGTGGTTGATCACTGATTAGTTTACCTGGCCTCTAGATTAAATATTGCAATTTGATTGCTTTTTAGTAGTCCATATGAAATCAGTTGGAGTCAGTCTGGTTCTATTGGGCATGGTTCCATGCTGTATTTTGACATGTCATTTGGGCCCATGCTAGCTGTTTCATCAGAGATTTTCCCATCCCTGGCAGTCATTCCAGAGTAAGGTTGACATGTACCAGCAACATGGTTTAGCATTGCATGTCCTGAAAACAGCTTCACGCATGGAAGTTGGAGTGTTTTGACTAAGATTAATAGCTCTTTTCCAGATCTTTAGCTGTTAAAATTAGAAGCAAGATTGGATATTCTGTGCAATGCAAATTGCATCCAGAAGAGGGCATGGATTTTGAGGGATTTTACTTAATTGAAAATTGGGATCAAACTGTCTTGCCCAACACCTCTTTAAAAAAAGGGCGAGGCTTTCCAGTCATATCAAGCTATCAGAGTTAATTTTTGAGGGCCCAAGAAAGTGTAAAAATTGCCTTTCTAAAAATGTTCCAAAACAGTGGAAACTGATGCTATTGCCACATATCATGCTTGTATATGTTTATATATGTTCTATTTACCTACTCCAGATTTATTCCAAGGAACAAGTTTGTATATGTTGTATAAATCTGTTATATCCTGTTTAAAAGATTTGAATAATGCCTTGACCTTCTCTTAAGCTTTTACCTTTACAGTAGAAACTCGCAATATTTTCATTTTTAGTTAAGTTCATAATTTTTATCTTGTGGCCATTCAATTATTTAGTTACATTCCTTTGCTTTCAGTAGAGTTTCAGGTTGCACAGTCTTGAGGACAGTTTGCCTGCTTATGAAAACCTTGCATTGTGAGTGAGTTGTGGTTTTTTGTTGGTTTTTTTTGTAGATGGATCTGAAGGGTGAATTTTACTTCAATGTAGAAGGTTTGCATCAACTCCTCTGTGCATGTTATATCATTAACATAGGTCTAAAGTGGTGTGTGTGATTGTCTTAAGTATTGTTCTGAATTTCACCCTTTGAGATCGTGTAGGGCCAGTACTGTAGGCAAATTGAAAATGCTAACTGTATTAATCTACCAGTGATAATTTGCTTGCATACTGCTATTTGACCACCATCTCTCACTTGATATAGAAATTAACCTTTCAGTGTCATTAATTTTGAGAGAGTTTGTGTTGTCAAAGAAGGAAATGACTAATTGAGAGTAAAATGGAATGATTACAATAAGTCTGACCTACAGCAAATATTAGCCTTCAGTTGTCTACAGATGGCCTTGAAAGCCTGGTACAAAACAGCCAGTTCCCTAATTGTTTTATTTTTTTTTTTTTAATTTAAAGTTAGAAAACTCTTTGATCCTAGTATTGATAACATTGGTTCCAATTTTAAAGCTTAAGATGAAGCAAATATACCCCTAAAAACGAAGAAAGAAAACCAAGGCAAAGTATTGCAAAGTCTAATAAAAATAAATATACAGCTCTTGATTTGTCATAAATGTCCAAACAAAATAAAAATAAAAAGTGTTACATGCTATGTTTAATGGAATGAAGGGACACTACTGTCTCTGCATATCTTGTAACTACCAATATTCCATCATAATAGATCAATCTTATTCTTGGGATTTTTTTTAAAGGCCGCAAGGCGACTTTGTCCTTGGAGTTGCAAAAACGTATTCATTTTCCTTGAAAAAATCCCTTTCCCTGAAACCATAGGCATGTTTAACAGTTCACACATTCATAGAAGTATGCTTCTAGAGAGACCCTTACCCTACAATATCTCTATGTCAAGGTGACTTTATCTTAATCTGTACACTCCAAAAAGTGCGTGCTTAATTATGAATTTGTTTAAAGTCTTTAAATTAAAGATAGGGTAGTAAACCTCTTATAATATTTAGTTTGAGAACAATGCAATTAACAGTGCTTCACACTAATTTGTGCAGGAGGTGATTTCCATTGCACTCATTAACAAGGAGTTTTAATTTCCTTATCTAAAAGCTAAAATAATTTCCTGATTCTGTTTTGACAAGGGAAGGAACTTTTGGCAGCAACAGGATCCTGTTAAGAGGTGAATTTTGTTTCTCTCATATGTGATTTGGTACTGTCAAGGAGAGCTTTATTGTTCCCCATTTTTCTTGTTAATTATTCTTTGTTCTTGAAGCACACCTTTGAATAGTATTGCAAAAGCTCCATTTCAGAAGGCTGAATTTGAAATTTGATTGGCCTCTGTTTTACCCCAGATCTTGGAGCTCACTGATACTGTGCAAATCATCAGCTGAAAGAATAGGAGTTAGAGTATATAAGGCATTCGCTTGGCTTTTCAAGAAAATGTGTTGTTGCCACTGAAATCATGCCCTAAAACAGTGGTTCACAATCTTTTTTGTACCAGGACCAAGTTGTAAACAGCCATGGCCAGTTGTAACCCAGTAAATAGTTTAAGTAGAAAACAGCCCCCTGCACCCCAGGACACAGCCCTCCAGTGTGTATGGCAGGGGGTGGGTGTGTGGGTTATAGCAGGGCACATACCCTCCCAGATATGGCTGCTGTGGGAGCACATGGGACTGCAGCCTGGCTGGACCAGC